CCGCGACAATTATTAATTTATGATTAGTTATCCAATATTGTTTACACTTAAATTCAAATGTAGTTTTGTGCTTACCGTCAAAGTAATGCAAACGAGTTTTATGCCTATCTTCAAACAAAACAACAATATATAGTAAAGATTCATGACATATTTTAAATATCATACTTTTAAATTGGTGAATAAAATGAAAATAGTAAATTTATATTCACAAATTTGAATAGCCTATTGCAAATTCTTAGATCAATAAAAATCATTATCTGGGTATTAACATGAGGTATAAAATATCGATGTTTTTAATAACTTTCATTGTATATTACATAATAAATGGCTACATGCCGTACATAAAGATGGTCGAACGTGTAATATGTGATTTGGAAAAGAAATGATAAAAACATTAATGAACGATGCATTTTATATCTTGAATTTATGTCTAAATTTTGCAAATGCGCCATGATATGAAAGTATTATGAAACAAAGTTTCAGGAAAATAAAAAAACGAAAGTGTTAGAAAAATGTTTGTTTGAAGAAGTGACTGTCGGAAAAACAATTGTATCGATAAGATAGTCGTATCAGAGAAGGAATTTTGGATTCGTCGGCAAGTATAACTAATGACAAGTCTTAAATTTTTTTAATTGGTAATCCGCGAATAAATGAGAATGCTAATAGTAACATTTAAAAATCATAGGGAAGATGATTTTTGTAGTACAGAATTTTATTATAAAAACCTTCCCTACTGTCATTTTTATTTATTTGTGAATTATTAATTCAATCAGAATTCACTAATTGAATCCGAATTGATTCAGAGTCGAATTATCAACCGGATACATTAAAGTGGATCGAAAATATATAACCCGAATTTATTATCAAAGACTAAATACATGATTATATTTCCTAACTCTTAAAGTACCTTTTCTCTCAGCAACTATTTCATACACTATTCCTGATGTGGGGACACCCATTTGCAGTGTTGTCACGGGACAGTTACATGAGTTTGGACACTTTTGGACGTTTCTGGACAAATAAATAAATTAAAATTACTCAGAATTTTATTAAGGTAATCTTTTTTAATTTTCTAAATAAAAATATTCAGCACTATGAAAAAATATATAATCATATATTTTTTAAATTAATATGAGGTTTGAATACGCTGCGAACATTCTTGGACATGTAAGCGTTTGGACATTGAACATAATTTAATAAAGTCTTGGACATAGTAGATGTGACAATACAGCCTCTCTGTCATATGTGCTTTGGAGTGCATCAAGAATATTTTGAACTATTTGCTGTGCTTCGATATTAAGAGTATCCACAATATAAAATGTAGATTCTGAATATGATTGAAATGGATGACGACCTTGAAAGTTACGAATCACTATTCCAAAATATTATAAGAATTCTTTTGGAATAATCAAAAGGATATAAAAAAAAATATTGTAATTCATTTTTAAACTTGTCATTAATTATAATAGTTTTCTGAACCTGCCTTGCTGAAGTCCAATTTCATTCCACTCAATAATTAGTAAAGGATCTCTCATTCAAAATTCCCATTTCATGAATAATTTCTTAGGTTCTTTTAGATAAGTTTACTAGATTGATTGATTGACATCTTTTGAATGATGTATTTTTTGCCACAAAGAGCCGACTGAATATAATGAGGAAAGGTGAGGAAAGTATTATAAAGCAAAGCTAAATAAAGACAAATTATTTGCATTATGATTAAGTAATGAAAAAGGTTTTTTTGCTTTAATTAGAAAATGTAAATAATTTCTTTATATATCGATATTTGATCGTTTAAATTTTAGTTGGAAGTTATGACTCATCCAATTAATATAATTAACAATCGCTACAATCAAAGAACTTTTTTTTTTTAAAAAAAAAAATAACTATTAAAAACCATAAAAAATTTTTTCCAAACTTTGAGCAAAGATTTCTCAACAAAATACCTACCTAGAATTGATGAATTTTTTTTTTCGACTCTATATAACCGTAAAATTAAAATCAATTTTGGATAGGAGATATTTTTACTCAAAGTTTGACTAAAAATTTGCATTTGAATTATAGATTTCATACAGTCAAAATGTGACTGTTCGAATAGAACCTCGTTTTAGCGACAATTTTGTCACCATGGCTAAAGTTTATTTAAATCTTATAAGCATGTGTGAATTTGTTTTTATTGGTTGATCGTTAATAATTCTAATTGACTAAAACTAACGCTAAGGATTAATTTTTCATAGTGATATCCGATGTTATAGTTATCATTACATTTGCAACTCTATAGAGTATATACATGCCGTAGAAACTATTTCGGCTTTGCAGAAAGTATTTTGGCACTGATTTTTGATATGAATGTCTGAGTTATTTATATTAACAATCAATGCCGAAATAAGCTGAAACAGTTTTTATGGCATGTATAATATACAGTATAACGAACCTCGATATAACGAACCTCGATATAACGAACCTCGATATAACGATAACGAAGATTATTTCTAATTTTTGTGTTTAAATTAGCCCCGATATAACGAAATTACAATAAAGATTTGATATAACGAAGAAAACCTCCAGCTCCAGAGCTTCGTTATATCGAGGTTATACTGTAATATAGTTTATCATTTTATCATGTAAAGTTCGAGAATTCCACCTCAAAAACATGTTTTTATATTATTCGTTTTAAATGCTAAAAACCAATGTAATAATTTCATATTAAATACTACTATATATTATCCAAATCGTTTCTAATTAAAGTTGGCGGAACATTCGATCCTATTCGATTACAGGATTCTATGAAAAATATGCTAATTTCGCAAGGGTGCCGCGCATAATCCCGATATTACATAATCCCGGCAGACAAATAGATATACAAAACGGCTCGATCGCTTGTATATTCAGTATAATAAAAACCGATTAATCAATAGAGCCGATCAGCCGATTTGCATCTCTACAGACAAAATCTTGATCCTGACAAGTACAAAACCCTGACAAGTATAAAATCCCGACAGTCAAGATTCTGCATTTGTCAGGATTAATATTGCTTGCTGCAAATATTAATTACAAATTTAATATCTATATGGCGTAATTAGGGTTGCAGCCTATTATAATAAAATTTTATATTTAAAAAGTCGGAAGTGTTGCAAATTATAAAAATGTTAATAAATGTCGTAACGGTAATGTTATAACAACCCAAGATATATGTCATATTGTAATATCATAATATACTGTATTTTACAAATAATTAAATTTTAAATTATACATATATCTACATTTATATATTTAACATTAATTGTGTTATTTACAGTAGACTTCGACCTTGTGACTTGAGATCTTACATCTTTTGCAACAAAATGAGTGTTTACAAAGGTTACAACTAAATCTAACGAGATGCAAAATTGCAACTTTGCAGCAGGCAATCTCTAGTCAGGATTTTGTATTTGTCAGGATTTTAGTATTTAAAGATTTTGACCGTCGGGATTATGTACCATCGGGATTGTGGGCTTCGGGATTTTGTACCAAACCTTTTTGCAAATTTCAGATATTCATAAAAATTTTTTTCTATTGTAAACGATATAATAAAGTCGTGTAATATAAATTTAGTTTTTTTCAATAGAAATAAGCCAATAACGATAAAAATAAATCCCCCAAGCTGGTCATATCAGGATTTTAAAAAAATGATCGAGCGATCAATCATGAAAATCAAAAAAAAAAAAAAATCATGATCGACCACAGCATCCTAACAAGTAAATTGTTCAGTTAATCTATCAGATCGATTACGATGATTTTAAGAGCCATTACTGTATCCTTAAAAAACTCACTGATAGACATTTAAAACTTTTAAGTTTCCAAATACAGGCAAACATCCTTAAATGCAATTTTGTTTTTGCGCACCTGAAAAAATTGCATTTATGAGGTTATGCGTATATCTTTTGCAATTTTCTAAAGAGAAAGTTCTAAGTTGAAGACTCGTCACTAAGCCTCCTAGCTACGTTATCAACGAGTCCTCTAGTCACTCTTTTTGAGACGTTCCGTCTTATCGATTAAATTGATCTTGTACGTAAGCATTCATCAGAAAACATTTAAATACACATTTAAACTTTTAAATCCTTTCGTTTTATGGTAATAAATATGAAATTCTTTTTATTTACTACAATTCCCGCTTTTTTAACCGTCGGTTTATCATTTGTCTCCTCGTACGTACTCAGTCCACGCGATGGAGAAAAATCTGAATGGGGATACCTTGGTTCGAACGGTCCTGCTTATTGGCACCAACTTAATGAAACTTATGCAACCTGTAAAAGCAATAATCAGCAAACCCCTATAGATCTTAAAGTTGAAGATTTTGCTAAACCTACTAAAATTGAGTTGGATGTAATCAAACAAACCGATTTAATTCTCTTAAATAATGGTCATACTTATCAAGTTCAACGTTCTGAAGGTACTATTGATAAACCAGCATTGTACGAAGATGCAACATTGAAAGTTGATGGTGAAACATATTATCTTCTTCAGTATCATTTCCATATGCCATCAGAACATCATATTGAAGGCAGAGATTTATTATTAGAAGGACATTGGGTTTTCAAAACCTCATCTGATCAAAATGCAAAATTTGCCGTTCTAGGGGTTTTTTTTGACCTTGGTGAACGTGAAGATCCTGGTTTGAAGTCTATTGTAGATATAATTAATGAAGTATGTAAAAATTTAATGACTATTACAGTATGAATATTTTCTTCCCAAAAATATTTACCAAAATTTAAAATAGAAACCGTTAGGAGCCAATGAACATGTTAACATATCAATATCATTAAGCGAACAAATATTTAAGAGTGTTAGAACTGTATGTATTTATGCCCTGTGATGAATTTTTGTTTAAATTTTCGTGATACTTTATTAATGATGTTCTGTTTAATACCAAAAGGTTTATAGTTATAACGGTAGCTTAACCACACCACCATGTACCGAAGGTATTCGTTGGTTTGTTTCTCAAGATGTACAAAGTATTAGTCCACCCCAATTTAGGTCTTTAAAGTATGTATTGAAATACAACTCCCGATTTACACAAAAGCGTCTTGATGGTGGTGAACCAACTTCAAACGAACCGTGGAAGCCCGATATCAATTAGTGTGCTCATCGAGGTTTCAATGTCCTGTATTTAATTTATTCCATTTTCTTATCTCTAAATAGTATAGATAGATAAATTTTTATTTTATGTAAATCTCAAAGTTCCTTTGACAATTGTTATAATTTCTTAAAGAAAGGTTCTTTTTAGAATAGAATATTTAAATTAGAAATCGTTTAGTTTAAGTAAAATGGTTTAAATTTTGAAATTATTGTTTAATCTAAATAAAACCCGGCATAAATATGACCGATTAAACAAAATAATGAAATTAAAGGTGCGCGTTTATAGAATAGTACTTGGGCTCGAACCTGTATGCGCATTGCATAATGGTGAATATTATTATTTTGGTCTCCCTGACATAGGTGCTCACTCTATCTGTTCTCCGAATATATATTTTTTTCGCGGAATTTTTATCAAGAAGATAAAAGGCCATGAAAAATGATCTTTGTTATCTATATAAGATTGGCACCTCAATCTATCTCTGATAATCCGATCTCCTGATCTCATTTTATTTTGATGCACCTATGCAATGTAAACGCCTTTTTATAATGAACCACTCTATTAAGGAACTTTTAAATATTTTTGCTACAAGAACTGTCAGTTCATTATAAGAAAGCTAGCTGTATACGATTTTTTTCTTTTCCATTCGTTTGTTATTCAAATTTTGAAAAAAAATAAAGGTGGCCATATATGTAGAGATACAAGAAAACACGATAAACAAACGAATACAACTCACTCACATTATAGTGAAGTTCTCAAGCTGGGAAAAATCTTCACTGTAGCTTATATCAAGAGAATATTATTTATTATATTGAGAGTTCACTATCACAAGGATGAGCTATATTTGGGCATACTGGTTCTTTCCGTTATTTAACTCGTGATTATATTTTTAGAACTCTACCATCTTTTATAACTTCGAATTATTTTTTGTGTTAATTTGTTTCATGAATGCAGATTCGTTTATAAATCCAATTACAGCAGATGCTTACTATAACAAGTTTCTTTGGACATAACGAATTTTAAAAATTTTAAATTTATATTGAGTTTGGAAAGTGTAGATTTTGTATATTTGATAATTTAATATCATTTGTACAATTAATTCATGGTTTATTGTTCATTTTAAATCTGTTCACGATTATTATTTAGTAGCCAAGGTTATCTTTAGAATATGTTTAACTATTTCTGTATTTACTCTAGTCTAATAGGACAATCAATTCTTTCTATAACGAATTGACAGTTCTGGAAGTAAAAAAGTTCATTATAGAAAATGGCAGTTTTCTTAAGGACACATGGCACTTTCTATACCGAACTATTATAAAATTTAAAATTTTGAGTATAACGTGTTCAAATTTGTTAAGAGCAATTATCACTTTATTATGTTTTTATATATATTTATAGGCATATTTTCTCAAATATACAGATTTATGTACTTCTTATTATAAGACTTTCGTTTCCTTGTAGTTTTATATATACAGTATGTATATATATATATGTGTATGTATACTTTACACGTATAATCGATTTGATCTATGATTATTTGACGTCCGGCCAAATCACAAGTATTTGTAGGGATGGATCAGTCCTGAAAAGACCGAATAAGGACCGGTCTTTTTAACCAGTCTTATGTTAACTGGTCCTCGGTCCTGAGCAGTGTTTAAAATTCGATTTTAATTTTATGTTCTCAAAAAAACATTAGCTGAATTCTAAATGTTCTCAAAAAATTTTTAATGTTCACAGTATTAGAAAGTTAAAAATTTTTTTATATTAAAAATTAGTTAAATGTTCTCAAATAGAGACTATTTTCCAATAATTCATGTTTATAAAACTTGCTAAATGTTTTTAAAGAACATGAGAACATCAAATTTTAAACACTGGTCCTGAGATCAGTCTGGACCGGTCCTCATGAATAATTCAATAACTAATTAAAAAATATGTTACATAATCTTTTATTTTCAATTATCGACGTCATATGATTTGATTTTCTTAGGGTTGGTTTGGTCCGTCCGGTCCGTCTCGGTCTCTAATAAGACCGGTCCTAATAGTATCTATTGATCCTATCGGTTCGGTCCCCGGTCTTAAAAATAAACTATTTTCACGAATATATTATCAATTTTGCTGTCGTTATCGAAAAAATTCATGAAATAGTAGTTTTTAATTGGTTAAAAGTTTGGTTTAATAGTTTAAAAGTTTATTTTAATAGTTTAAAAGCTTATTTTAATAGCTTATAAGTTTATTTTAATAGTTTATAATTAACCGGTCTGAATTTGTTAAAAGACTGAAAACCGAAGACCGTATAACCGGCCAAAAAGACCGGTCTTTAACCAGTCTTCTCAGGACCAAACCAACCCTAGATTTTCTCCGCTAGCCAATAAGATTAAATAATTAAGGACCGTTATTGGGACCGAGTCTGGACTGAAAATATTAATAGACCGGTCTTTTTAGGACCGGACTTATCCATCCCTAAGTATTTGACTATCAAGTTTTTGCTTGATTTTGTCGAGTACTACTCAACTTTGACTTGGGACCGGACTTTTAACGTCTATAGGTACACATTCTCCGAGTGTAATTGAGACCTTAAGGTACTGTTACTCCCGGACTACCTCTTAGAAGTTCGGTATAACGTTTTACTTTAGCGACGGGTAAGTAATTAAACAAGAATGCCGATTTATGCTTAAGTAAAAATATAGTGTTTGGCGCAGTTACGCTTTTTAAGAGGATTAGGACGATTTGCAATTACAAAAGAGACAACGGCTAAATGTATATGAAGATACAAGTAGTCGTATTAACAAGTTTATGTTTTTACTCAAGTTATTTGTATGAAGACACTATAACAGGGCTATGGTTTATTCAAGCTATCCGTGTATGAAGACACGATTCCTCTTTGGGATTTATTCAATAAAGTATTCGAGTTGTTCGTGTATGAAGACACGATTACTCTTTATTTATTATTGAGTTGTTGTTGGAACTTCGAGATCTATTCTTTATGAGAGAAATATCTATACCTTTTGCACTATCGATCTCTGTTACTATTTTTATAAATTACAAATCAACTAGAACCACTAAATTAAAAAAAAAGCATTAGCGCTATCAATGCAATAAGTGCTTTCGAACTACTGGTCCTATCTATATTATTTTAGCGATAGTTAGCGCTAGCTAGCGCTACTTAGCACTCTTGGCATTAGTGCTACATTTCCGTCTAGTACTGTATCTCATGATGTGAAATTACAGGGGTTAACAGTACCAAGTCCCAAGTGGCATTGATTGGCAGATAACCGTTGATGTGTAGGTATTGCATTTTATTTAAAACACATGCAGATGTGAGTCGAGTCCCTTGGCTTTAGACCGGACTTTTAAATATCCCTAGTTAGCAACTGGAGTGCCAAAAGGTTCATATGCGGAAATTCGTTTTATTGGTTAATTTTTGTGGATCTACCCGTGATTATTGACCAATTAAATTGCCTATATTTATCACCGATATCGAATTATTTATATTGATAAAAACTACAAGGAAACGAAAGTCTTATAATAAGAAGTACATAAATCTGTATATTTGAGAAAATATGCCTATAAATAT